GGCGTCATTTCAAATTGGCTACATTTCGTAAATCCTTTGAAAGCTGTGTTGTAGGTATAATCCAATGTAAGTTTTGATAAGAAGTAAATCACAGTTCCTAAAGTACGATGAGACAATACATTAATGAAGAAAAAAGTGACTTCCGTTCCAAAATGGCGGCAAAAACGTAGAAAATGTCAATTTTTTTTTCATTTACATGAACTTTACAAGAGCTATCACTTACTTTGTTCAGTTCAAATGCCTAGTTTGGTTAGAAAGACAGGTTGCTTTATCTAATAATTATCTAACTGACAGTTGCATGTACACAAACCCGTACAAGGAAGGCAGGTAGCATTTACAGTTACCAACACAGATGGATTTCTCGCATCCGCATTTCAAAAGTTCCTGACACGAGGATGCAACGGCCGGCAAAGAAGTCCATTTTGGTTTCCAACTGTCATTATCTTTTTCTTTCATCCAACCCCAGTGTTCAGGACTTGGTACCTGCGGAATGCATATTTCCGTTTGAGCCCAAACATGTCCGCCTTGATATGCTACTCTTTTGGTGTGTTCTAGAAGAGCATCTCTGGAAGGCGGAATAGCATCATAAGGCTGCTGCTTCCTGGCAAACAATTCAAATCGTGCCTCGTTAACAGCAAATGCTGCTGTTGTTCTGTCTGACGCAAAAATCTAATCTTGCGAATGCTGCAATTCCTAATACTACTACATCCGTGTCAGTACTACTTAAAATTACTTTTTTACAACCATTTTCAGCAGCATGCTTAACATGGACAAACATTCGTGTATCTGCTTCTTCATGGTTACAAGAGGATAGCTGGGAAGTATCCGTATTGAAATTGCAAAGAACATTTTCACCTTGAGTAACATAAACAGTTTTATCAGTCTCTAAAGAATCAATTCTGTCGGCAAGAAACTTGAACAATTCCGTTCTGTTGTCATCTTCACGGAGAAAACTACTCCAAACCCTTGGCGTTCTACCAGAACCAACAACTTTCCGTCTAGCACCAGCACCTCGCTTTCTTCTCGTCCCAGCCTTTAAACTATTCTTTAAGTAAACGTCAAAAACAATGTCTACTCTTGAATAATTATCGGTGCAAGATTTTATGTAATGCAGTATGACATCATTTGCATAATCATCAAATGTTTTTGCCCCACGTGGTGGTTTGGAATTAACCATCGCTGCCCCATCAACGATAAATGCGTCAGAATGTGGATCAGTTGATGGTAAATCGCAGAATGATTCAAGTATATCCATTAGCTGCGATTTAATACCACTGTTTAAAGTGCCATCCTAAGACAAAGACGGTGGAGCAGTTTGGTTTTCATGGCTTAAGAAATCTTCGAGGTCTACTTTGACATGAAATGAAAAGTCGAGAAAAGAGATCGCAATCACTTTTCATGTTCTTTAGCTTTGTTTTTGACAAAGACGTTTCCGAGTTTGTTTTACGGCTAAATAATTGGAAATTGTTCTGTTTTATCGGGTCATAAAAAGCAGATTCTCCTTTGTTTTTCATTTGTTTCAAAAGATCTTCGTATTGTTTTGACCCAATATCTTAGAGTTTACATATCTAACCTGCTTCCAAATCAACAATTTCCTAAGAGTCAATTTTGTACTAATCTGATGACTCCTCTAGAAATGGATTTCCAAACTCGTTCATCACTTTAGAAAGCCTTTGATCCTTTTCGAAGAAATCCTTTTGTGTTTTCGTAGAGTCTTCATGGTGTCGTTCATCTGTTGAATAATGACTCAAACCACTAGATCTTTCAAATTCATCTACCAGTCTACTGACGTCTGGTCCAGCTACCATACATCGTCTCAAAGCTGCGGGATCTTCGGTTAATGCTATGGCACCACCATCGCCCTTCACAATTGCATTATTCTATTCATGTGCCTGATCAATTGTAATATTAGAAAACAACTTGCTGGTCTTACGTACAGTGAAATTACCATTTTCAAATTCCATTGCAACCTGTGGGTGATATTCGAGAAGGGAAGCCATATCTCGGAGTTGGATCGATAACCATCGAGCATAATTTACACGATCAAGACCAAAAACATACGGTATCATGCTTGATATGGACTGTTTGTAAAGTACGAAATCTGACTCACGAAATGAGCATACTACCGAAAGCACAAGAAGTTCTAAATTTATAATTGAACGCCAGAAATTAAACTGTGGTCGAGATGACTCTCTTTCCTTACACCAGTGTATCAAATCATCGAACGTCACAGAGTCATCAGTTATATAATCTGCGTTTATGCTTTCATAAGCCGACATTAACAATTCAAACAAAACACATATAGTTATCTGATGCGCGTGTCTAGTCCTAGGTACATTTGAACATACAAGAAAAGAATCATATGCCGTTCCAGGTGTTGCAATATCGGCTTCAGTGAGGGCACTTGTCCATCCACTACCACGCAAAAAGTCACCCAGAATTTTAAAACCAGCCATTGCAATGTGCAATCCACCAAACATGACGATAAACTTACCTTTTCCGTACAAATCTGGCCATTCCCACTGAATTTGCTTTGCCAAAACAAAAAGGTGTTGATCTGCAATTATAATTGGTGTTTGTCCGGGATTAAAAAAGTTAACCACCTCTTTCACCTTATCCATCGAATGCTTGATCATTGCAACTGAATGGGCTTGTTTTTAAAATAGTGGCATCAAAGTCATTGTCATTGCTTCCCAGAGTGACGAAAGGGGAGCCTCCTTGTCACATAAAAATCACTTAACAATATCTTGTTTAAGTTTTGTATCTGAATGATCAACCTAACGGCGAAAGAACTTAGGTGAACAACCGGTTTCACTTTTTGTTGATTTCGTTGACTCGTATCTTTGTTCGGCACGTTTCAATTTGGTATTGTTAAATTTAATTCGGCAACTTGGATGGTATTTTGCCTCATTCATTGTTAAAGTGCTTTCAATTCCGGAACCGTTGTTTTACCTTTAAACGTCTAGTGGTATAGGTAATCTATTCATTTTGTGAAACTTAAGAATGTTTGTAGCCAACATTTTATACCCATCGGCGTTGATTTTAACGTTTCAACTGTGTCTTCATGACACAAACAACACTTTGACCAGTCAGTTTCCCAACTCACTGTTGAGGCTGATGACAGACAAAGGGGCAAACCATAAAGAATTTGTGAGACTTGAAAATGAAAGCTGACAATGGACCCCATGCCGTGTTTATAATCGTGTTTATAAATAGTTTGCACATGCTCGAAATTGTTAAACGCATGTTTATCATAACCTTGAAAAATGTTATAAAACCTATTCATAATATCATTGAAAATCCCAAAACACTAAGTATGTAGTGAATAGATTAAAGATTTTTTGTGTGAATTTTGCAACGTTTTCGCGCATGCGCAAACCTTAAACATGTCAAATATTCATTTCTAGTATAAAAGTCACATGTAAGGAAGGTAGCCACCAAACCTGATAATTTTTTACTAAAAGGAGGTCAAAGAAAAACAGTTTTCGAGAAAAATAAGTATTTTCGAACTGGAAAAACAGCCATTTTAGAACAAGGCCGTGGCCATCTTGAAAAAAATGATTTTTTTTTATGGCCAGCAGTTTTTTCTTAAAAAATATATAATAATGATGCTTCATGCTAATTTTCATGCTTGTATCATGATTTGCACAATTCTCTCGATTTTGCTTGCTAATATCTTCCACTATAAGGAACACGTTTCAAATGGGAGAATAATATTCATTGTAAAGAAATTTTGAATCCATTTCAGTACGGAAAAAAACTTTTGAAACAGAAATCAAATCGTTATTCTATCTTGAACATTTAAATTCATTTTTCACTGGAAATATCGAAAACCTCAAAAAATGGATTATCAAGAATGTTCACCCCAATAAAAGCTGGATTACAGTATGGCCACTCTAACAGTGTTTGTCAAGACAGTTATACTTCTGTTTTGTGAAAGTCTGTACTGCTGTGTAGGAAAGGTACATACACTGTCTCAGGTGATCTTGTTTGTGGTTTCATTTCCGGAATTTCGATAGTAGAATACATTACATTGTACTTTGTTTTTAAGCGTTCATACCCCTGTTCGACATCTTTTGGAAGTGGTCTGTATGTAAACAATGGGACTGATGAATTTTTTATGGAAATAAACAATATCTGCTCTAAGCTATTCTTTCCAGATAGAAATACTTTAATATTGTTCTAGACGTGCACATGAACCTTCGATATTGAACGCTATCCAACTAAAAAAAATATCATTTATCAGGTATTTCTAGAAAAATGTACAAAAAGATGTCTCATATAATGTTTACGACATTCTTTTTTTAAAATAAAGAACTAAGTAATATACTAAAGTCAAAAGTTGAGATTTTGAACTTACGATAGTTTTCTAGATGTCTTATTAGCATCTGGGACATAATATGTTGATAGTATAATAGTCCCAGTTAGCATCAAACAATTTAATGACTGGTACACAACTACCACGATGAAACTTTTTCCATCAGAGATTCTGTATTTTGGCTTTAAGCTTTATAGAATAATCATTACGTTCTAACACGACTCTTTATTATGAGAAAAAATAAGTTAAGCAATTACATTAAAAAACAAGTAGGGTCTAATGAAAAATCATTTTTGTATTATTTCTAATACCAATAGAAAATAGCGGGTTGAGGTGGTTAGTACTACTTGTTCCTTTGTGATACATGTCTACTTTTTTGAAGCTCTGTGATTCTACTGGAAACAGTTCTGGTAATTTAATACCAGTATAATTTTGTCTTTTAGGCCATGGTAGATGTAACAGGTTTATAACTGGATCAGTATTTACTATGGTATCTGCAAATTTCACTTTGAAATAAAAATTAAGGATATCGCGGAAATGCAGCCTTGGCTCTTTACAAAGAGCTGAAGATGTCAGCTTAGAAAATGAATAAGAATATAAATTAATATCAATGTCTGAGCTTTGCAGCTTTCAACTAGAATATCAATTTGGTTTTGAATAATTGGTTTCTGAAACAAAGTCAGAAGAAATAAAAACATTTTACCAGAATAAGGATTATGAAGTGCACTTTCACAAACTAAGAAGTATAACGGTGTTTTGAAGTGAATGTCAATATCAAATAAAATGTTACTAGTAATATTCTTACTTTGCAAAGACCTCATTATTTTACAAGTGGGCCAACGGAGAAATAAGTAACCAATTGACCTCCCATAAGGACAATATTCCGAACCAAGAGGGTAAAATGATATTTCTGTGTATAGTTCTTTATAAACATGCATAATTAACATTTGCATTGTTCTTTCAAAGACATCGACTGGTTTGCAGCGGAAATCCAAACTTGCTCCTTTTTCTATGAGGTAGTTGAATAGTTTTGGCTGTTGGAAAACAAATGTACCAGCAAGTGGCGTTAATCCATGGAAGTCTCTACATTCAATAGTCTCATTACTAACACGAAGTATGCTTTCAACTATTACCTGATCCCCAACTCTTGTTGCATAGTTCAGAATACTTTCACATGTTAATTCAGTTAACAATGTATGATACTGACTGAATGTAACACCATGATACAAATCTTTATATACATGTATCTGTTGAAACGACTTACAGTTTACACATGTATCATGAATTCCAATATTAAGAATATAACTGAAAATTTTATATGCTTTTACAAATGCAGCAAATCGTAGCAAAACGGTTTCTATAGTAGAATTAGTCGTTAAGAACTTGAAAACTTCTAAGTAATCATACATGACTGGCAAACGAATAAGAGTATTAACACTTGAAGTTTTTTGTTCAAGTTTATCTTTTCCCGTTTCAGCAATAAGTTTAACTGCTCGAAGATTTCCTTTTATGATCGCAATATGTAGTAAAGTAATACTATCACCAGTAAGAAACCTACCTTTATTGTCTTCATAGATATAATTTACAAACGTGTTTAGTCTATTTATGTTTGTAAGACAAGAGAAGTCGAGTAAGCTTTCTTCGTGAATAGCAATAAAAGAGTTTGTGTTATTCATAAGTGCATTTATAGCTGACAGTGTCCTGTTGTTATTTTTGGAGAAAGAAATCATTTTCTTCATCAAACGGAAAGAATCTACGACTGAAGCAAACATGTCTAAAACAGAATGGCACGGTTCGTATTGCACACCATATAAATTGTGTCCACATATAGTGTTATTTACGTAAGTACTTAATTGGTTAAGCATATCCATATCTATTTTCTTGTCTGATCTTTGCATGTGCATAAATAACTCAACAATGAAATCGTGGCTCACGTTTACCTAATTAGCATCTATGTTACTTAACATGAAACGCGATATTGCAGCATGATCTTTCTTTTTGTCAACTTTGCATGGATGTTTTATTGAAAGAAATATCATCCAATCTTGGAGAAAAGGCTTTAGTTTGATGATATCTTTATGTAAGAAATTCTGGTCAAATGTGGTGACCATATCCTGAAATACACTTTCAAAGTCTTTTTTTTTCTTTGAAAGCTCTCTATAATATGTAGAAATTTCCAATAGATCTTTTAATTCAAAGGTTTCATGCCTGCAATTATAATTTCAAAAAGGACTTTGGCTTTTTTGAAAGCAGTAGACCTGCAACCTTCAAAAACATAAGGGAATTCCATTCCAAAGAATTGGTCAATTGATGTTGGTAAACTATCAACAGACAATGCATGATTTCTGTTTATTTTTTCTACCATGTCTTTTACTAGCACAAAATTCCACTTAAGATATTCAAGATAGGTACGTGGTATATAATTTTTTTTACTGTATAACAACATATCTTCCTTGTTATTATCAGATTCACGATATAAATGCCAGTGATCAAGGTCTCTAAAGTTGTCAATGATTTTAGAATCATTTTTGGAGGTTAACAACAGTTTAATCCATAGAGGCAATTTATTATATCTTAACTGTAGTAATGTAATTACGGAATAACCAAATCCAATAGTATTGCATTCATTTAATGCATCAATCAGTAAAACAAGGCGTTCCCCTTCAGGTGGAAGAAACATCGAAAGTGGTTCTACTATCAATTCATCAAAACAATTAACAGGATTAAATTTGCATGATGTTTTGATTTCGTTTTCTCTGAATGACATAAAAATGCCTCTTTTTTCTAGCATTTTTCCATATAAAGGATATTTGCAGTAAAGGTTTTGAACAATATTTAAAATGAAAGTATCTGCTCGCTGAAATTTAGCCTCACTTGAGATGCATAAATGATGAATTAAATTTATTTGTGTTAGGTTATGTTTTCCTTGAATTATATTTGCCATGGCTGCTGATTTACCATATCCTGTATCAGCTACCAAAAGTACACCACTTGATTCTTCCATTCGCTGATGTATGCCTTCAAACAGCCAGTGTCTTCCTACAAACTTTTGATGTTGTTGAAGATGTATATCAAAATCAACACCAAATTCGAGATCGCAGACTAAAATATATAAATATTCTACTTTCGTAATTATTTTCCCTTGAATATATTTCTTACACAAATCAAGTTATTAGACTTATCACCGGGTTTTGTACTTACACCAGCAACACGACGCGAAGGGTGTCACATGTGGAGCAGAATCTGCTTACCCTTCCGGAGCACCTGAGATCACCCCCCCCCCCCTAACCACTCCTCCTCTCCCCGTTTTTTGATGGGTTCGTGTTGCTCAGTCTTTAGTTTTCTATTTTTTGTGTTGTATTCCGTTGTTTGTCTTTTGATCGTTTTTCGGTTTTTGCCACAACATTGTCAGTTTGTTTTTGACTTAGGGGTTTGAATTTTCCTTTGGTATCTTTTGCCTCTCTTCTCATTAAAAACTCCTTGAATTGAGTATTAAAGCGACTAGATAGTACACATTAGGAAATTAACAACAGCTTTTATTTACATATATCCATAAATCCAAAATGCTATTCAGCGCAATGAAGTTTGGATGCCTTTAACTAGCATGAATTAATGTGTATCTGAAAGGTTTTAAAATATTGATTCACTTCCGAAAGCATTTTTTGGCTTTGGTTTTAGAATGTCCTTCGTATTTATTTTTGTGATGATTAATTTTGAAAATACTAAAATCTACCAAAATTCCAGTTTTAAGTTCTCTTTCTCAATTTATCATTTGGTTACATGCTCAATATACGCAATGATGTCGTAAGAACCTCATACAAGATGCATACATAAAACTGTCATACTATGAAATTTAGAAAAGATTGGACAAATTATTGCATGGCCCTTGTGTGAAAAGTAACTCCATGGGAGATTGGCCCTACGTCTTTAATTATATTTTAACATAAATGACGGTACCGATTTTACTGCAACAAATGCGCACTTCGATAACTAATGTCTCTTCAGTGGTGTTCGAGGCTGAAATATTTGAAAGTCCGAAATCTAATACACACATTGAAGAGCTGATAAAACCAAAAAGAACCAAAAGTAAAGCCAAACCCGGACAAGGAATCAGAGTTATGCAAGGTGGGAGATGCATTACTCAATTTTAATTGATTTTGAAATTTATATCAGCAAATTTAATTCAAACGATATCCGTATTTTCATGCAAGTACCAAAGTACTGGCTACTGGGCTGCTGATACCCTCGGGAACTATGTCCACCAGCAGAGGTATCGACGCCGTATCGAAAATGTCGAAATGCCATCTGGTGCAGCAAATTGCTATCATAAATGTTATTACATACATTTAACCGCATATAATAAAATGAATCAGATGTATCTGCACGGTAAGTATAATAATTCTTTACGACAGACACAATCAGCTGATCTGCAAGGTATTCCATCTACATGCCATAATAAATTATGTATTGTGTTACAATCCTGGATGAAGCCTACGAAAAAGGCATTACTTCACCAACAAAATTTATATCTTATAGCCTAATTTGCCGAATGGTCTAGTTTACTGGACACAGCACAAGCAGTTCTGAAACAATGTCACAGACGAATAGGTTCCAAGATTTACTACAGATCAAACATAGCAGATATTTTTTGTTATCCGAAATATTTATTGTTTTCTAATTTTTTTTTTTCATTATCTTTATTATTATTATTTTGGTGTTGTTGTAAATTTTTTTTAGAAGTATATTCTATGTAACATAGTTTGCTGAGTGATCTAGGGCGTTGGACACAATGCAGGCGGTGTTCCCACGATTATCATGAACGCAGGGGTTCGAACCCTGCTGAGAGAAGATCAAGGACTAAAATTGTTGTGCTCAATTTCTGACGAAGTATATATATCTATATATTTCGTCTCAAATTTAGCCCACAATGTTAGATCTATATATATATAAAAGGTTTAGATGAAAATCCTCTTAAATTGTATTCAAATTAATCAATACATCACAGAAAGTCACTTTCACTATATATCAATTGATAAAATGTTTCTCCAACTATATATAATTGAGAGACAGAGAGAGCATCAAATTTGATAAGTGTCGGATCGTCTAGAATTTAGAATTAACGATACTGCACAAACAGGAAAATTGTAGTTTAAAGATTTGTTAAAACAGATGTAAACAACACTTTATAAATCCATGCGACTGAAGCGCTTTTTCTTGATTTACCTTCACTAGGAACGCTCAAATCCGAATAATTGAAAGACTATATGACCAAAAGGACATAAACAATATCCAAATCAGTCTAAGTTCAACTTTGCCTGACTGAGGGAGTTGACACCTTATTTCTTTATAATTTCTAAATAAATTTAAAAACGGACAATTTTAGAAAAGTTTGTAATAAATCATGTCATTACCGAAGTAATGACTACTGAGCTTATGATACCCTAATGGACTGATAATCCACCAGCAGCGGTATCGACTGTAGTGCTGTAAGAATGAAAACAACACTTTATTAATTGTATGCGTCAGAAGCGCTTTGAACAATACTGATGGTAAGAAAATAAACGAAAAAGATGAAATAAAAGCCTGTTTTGCTAAACGAATGGCCTTCGCAAGTGTTAATCTTTTTTTTTCAAAATGTAATGAAACTGTGTGTTTAAAAATGTAACTTTGTATTTCAATCTGTAATCCTACACTACATCGACAAAACAACACTCAATACTAAGAAGGCGTAAATGTGTATTTTCGACATCCCAAAAGTTTTATTTTAATTTTGTATTGATCTTCTTACAACAAACCTAATAATAAAAAGATCGGAGAACTTACCTCTGTCAGCAGTTGTCACCTCTAGAACTCGTTGGTCATCATTAGCTGTAAAAGAAGTACCAAAACTAGCAATAAATTATCATGTGATTGATTCGGTCTCTTATTGATGATATACTATTTCTCTAAGCCTCATTTGTTTAAATTAACATCCGAAATCACATTGCCTTAAACATTAACAATTTACTAAAATCTGCATGTATCCAACGAAATAGTGTACCATCATTTTGAAATTGAACGTCTACTATCTAGACATTTTTTAAACAATATTTACACATAGTTTTAGCAATTATTGTGTAAAGGCCCAATACATTGAAGACAAAGTCCTACAAATTGCGTTATCTTATCATCATGTACAAGATTTGACTGCATGTCTTTGTAAATTATTATTCAAACTATTAAAAAAATCATTTTATGTTCTTAAAGAACTGTTTATATGAAGTCTTTTTTGTATGTTTATCGACTACGGAAAGTGCATACTAAGAAAAAAGTAAAATCACAAAAATACTGAACTCCGAGGAAAATGGTTGATTAGGAACCGAAAAAACGTTGATTGGTGTTCTTTGCTTGCCAATCAAATTGACCTGTGTTACAAATATTTCATCGGTTTCTAATGACCACCAATTAACTATTTTACCAGTTCGCTTTATTTGGCACAGATCTGTCCACAGAGAATTGCCACGTGCAATGAACATTTGATATATATATTAATTGCCAACAGATGAATGAAAGTCACTGTGAAAGGGTCATTGAATTTTTTTTCACTCAACTCTGTCTTGGTCTGATCATATCAATCATCATACAACAACAAAATTTATTCTTCGTTAGCTATACTGAAACAAATCAATAAATACTTGAATCCTAATACAAGAATTTTATTTTTACAATACTAATATTCTTCCACATTTGGATATCTGTTGTTCGGTATGGGCAAATTTTTAAGTTTACAGTTTACTAAAATTGCAAAACGGGCAGCTTGAATTATTTCAAACGAAAACGATATTCGAAAACCATTAATGGAGGCATATTTGAGGAATCTGGAACTATTCGCGTTACTAAGAGATTTCTATACCACAAGTCATTATCAATATATAAATCAAAACATGAATTGGCACCAAAATATTTATCAAATCTTATTGTGCCAACAAATAGCATTCAATCACACAATACTCGGCTTGTATCATCAGGTTCTTAAGTCAAATACAGAATTATAGTCTTTCTTTTAGCGGACCAAAAGTGTAGAAATCACTATCAAGTGAAATTAAAAAAATCAAAAACCGTATCTGCATTCAAATATTCTTACAAGACATTGTATTTTTTGCAAAGTGCAATAATTGTTACTTCAACCACTATGCATTACATTGTTGTTTTATAATTTTTTATAAGAAGAATATATATATATATAAATAGAAAACTACCAACCAACAAATTCAATACATATCTGACCGTCTATCGACGATTCAGCACAGACAGAAAACAATTACAAAAGTCTTTAGATTGTGCAACGATACTGATAAAAGTATCGTCGCACAAATCTTAATACTTTTAAATATATTCATGTAGTTAATATTGTATCTAGAAAGCTTTATTGAAAATTTGTTTGCTCTGAATGAGTTATTTTCTTTATATAAAAAATTTATTATAATTAATTTTATCATTATTATTATTATTATCATCATTATTATTATTATTATTATTATTTAATGTCAAATTAAACAGAAACAAAAACAAGATTTTGTAAATAACTGTTTGCTTAAAATACAAACAGGACTCCAGCAGACGATATCCATTAGGGACAGTCAATGTTATCTGTACAATGTCTAGCTTAATGGCTGCTTGCAGGATACGGCTAATTTTGTTGACGCCAATAATTGAAAAATTATTTGCCACCGGTTTAATTATGGTGTTTCTAAAATTAACAATGACATGAAAGAGCAATTGTCTCTTGTAGTCATATGTTTTATTTTGACTTTTGAATTGCATAACTTACAATTATATGTTTCTCTTGTTTTGTCCATTCAATCTGAATCTAATTGTGCAAAGATAAACAAATGAGCAAATGAGGTCATGAGGAATCATTTCTTTCCAAACTGAATTGTAAATAAAATAAACTGCTGGGACTGCCTGATTTGACTTTTAAATTCGGAAAGGATTCTAACAAAATCGATTTCTTATTCATAGAAAGTTAGGAAACATAGGTGTGCTTTTTTTAATTGCACGTAACTTACCAAAATATACTTTGAAAAGGGAGAAAAAGTACGTAACTTACCAAAATGTACTTTGAAAAGAGATAAAAAGTACGTAACTTACCAAAATGTACTTTGAAAAGAGAGATAAACAGTATGAGCGACAACAGATGATGAAACAGTTGATAATAAGTCCAGTTTTCTTGTAACTTAGAAGTTTGTTCCTTCACAACAGCCAACAGGCGTGAGCGTTTCTCAGTTTTAATAATTTTAATGAAATTCATTTGTTTTAATACCATAATGTCGGTTAAAGCAGTTTTTGCTTCTTTATATGACCAGATATCCGGATCTTTTAGAAAATTTATAAGCATTTGACAGCTTTTTATTTTTTCTTTGGCTTTAACCTTGCTTTTGTGCGAAACGTTATTTTTCGTATCTCTTTTACATCTTGATTAAAATGGTGACAATTGTTCATACTACTGAGAAGTACAGAAACATCATCTGAACTGGATTCTCCTTTAAAACAGCAATCCGGATTAAAACACTTTTGAACTTCCCTGTCGTCTTCTGGCCATTTTGACGAATCACGTACGACCAGTTTGTATTATTATTTACCATAGATTTCCGTTGGCTATGCTTGCCTATAATTGTGGTCCTCCAGCTTGAACACACTGCACACCAATCCTGTAATTGTCGTTTATGTTTACTGCAAGAAATCGAACATCTTTGATTTCTCAAGTGTTTCTTTTGATTTTGAAGTTGTTGATGAAAAATATCAAATTGATCGTTCACATAGTTTTGTATTCCAGTTTTGAAAACTGTCAGCGCACATAAAACTGATAGTCGGTTCTGGTGATCAATGTCGCCTATAATTCCCTGTGCCATTGTTTAGCAGTATTACTCAAGTTAAAACTGTAACATTGAAAATATGCAGATTTAACACACATATATACTGTGCAAATACGTACATCAAATGAAGTATTTAATTGCAGTTCAAAATATCTGGTTTATATAAACTGAATAGTTGAAATGATTGAATGGCATTTAAAATCACACACAAACATTTTTGAATCGGATACACTACTTGTTTTAAATGCATAATGGTAATGTTTGCTTACTGTGTATTCCATGGTTAGAACATATACTTAAATACTATTGTTCTTTGATAACAAAAAAAAAACAACAGAGGTACACGACATACCTGATATCACTGACCATGTCACTTAAAGTACAATCATCATTTTTAATAAGTTCATGTACATTTCTCCAAAGATCCTAACAAATTTAGAATATATATATCAAGCTTTCAGCATGCTTGTTTTCTAAGTATTTATTGATTGCAATATTCATATTCTTAAAGATCATATAGTATTATCATTTTGGTATTCAAATTGAATATCAAGTAGAACTGCTACTTGATAATCCCAAATATCAAAGTAGACTCGACATTGAACGACCGTTAAATGCATGACACAGTTTGTAAATAGGCTCAGAACAAAAATACAAAATATTGATATCCGTCTTTCAAGTTCGTACTGTATCGCTTCAGTTTAAGTTTTAAACACATATTCTGTTGTCGCATATTTGAAAAAGATATCTATGTCGCGATTTGTGCGTCATAAATTATTGTAAATGTCTAGTCTAAATCAATTATGACAAGTCTTAAACATAATTATGACTATCCGAATTCGAATAATGCCTAGACTAAAATCTAATTATGTCTTGTCTTAATTAATTGTGTCTATTTTAATACTTATAATAACCTTTATTTCAATAATGTAAGCTCAATTAGTACAAACACTTTTCTCCCTTGAGGCCCTCACACTACAATTCAATCAATCAATCAATTAACCACACAAAATTTTACATAACCAAGATAACATTATATATTATATAGAAGAAATTGTTAATATGAAATTCATTCATTTAATAATTCCTGGATTATACAGTAACAACTGAAACAATATGATTTGAAAGTATTTATTTTTGACATGTGTCTCCATATAGACAAAAGACCTTTTAAATGTGTTTGTTGTTGCCTTTGACATACCCATAATTGAGTTGTATTTGTTATCTTGGTTACATTTCTATTTGTTACTATATTATTTTATTTGACAGATATTCTGGGACAGATTCATTTAAACATGTATGTACATATAAGGCCTTATGGTAGATTAAACGATAAGTAAATCTAAGCCAATATAACTTTTCAAACAGTGTATTATGAGGTAGTTCAAGAATAATTCTTGCTGCCCTTTTTCAAGACTATCTATTCTACTAGTATTTTGATCACTTGAATTTCTCAAATTGTACAACAATGATCCAAAATAGAAATAATTTTTCCCTTATAGTACTTTTCCGTCTTTCAGGTTGGGGTGATTTTTTTATTCTGGACAAAAGATTTAGCCTTGTACTGATTTTGGGGTTCAAAGAGCAAATATGTGCTGTCCACTCCAGATGGTCAATAAAAAAAAATAGACACTTTTCCCCATTTACATCCATAATGTTCTATTTCACAACCGTCAAATTAAGATTATATCTTGTGCTTGCTAATTTCTGTCTCGAAACAATGACCACAGATGTAGTTTTAGTAGAATTGATGTAGATACAACCATTCTTCAATATTATATAAATCTAACATCCTACTGTTCTTTATGGAACTGAGACTGCAACTCGTGCTATGAATGGTAGTATCATCTGCATAAATATCATGAGATGCAATGGTATTAAGAAGCAAGTCATTTATGAAAATAAAAATAAAAGGGACCTAAAATTGAGACTTGAGGCACGTCAGATTTATTTTCAAGTGACTTCGACTTGATTTTCTCTTTTTCAACTTATTTTATTTCTTGGATAGATACAAGCTAAACCAGTTACAGAGTAAATGTGCAATTTTTTAGCACTGCAGTGTTTAGAGAAGGAGAATGTGATCTAACAAACCAAAAGCTTTTTTAAATGTAGAAAGATAACACCAATAATTTCTCTATCATCAATGGCTTTTAACCATTGGTCATTAAGTTTAAGTAAAGCTGTTTGACAAGAATGTTGGCTTTGGTAACCAGACTGACTGGTATTTAAGAGTATATATTTCAAAAAATATGAGCAAAGACGTTTGCAGACATGTTTTTCAAAAATCTTGGAAAGAGTTGGCAAAATGGATATTGGTCTGTACACGAGCATTTTACAGACCAGAAGGTAATATACCAGCAGTGATACTTTTATTTATAAAAGAAGCTACGGATTGTGATATAACTCCATGTGATAGTTTTAGAGTGCTTATCTTTATCTGACTAATGTTACTAGCTTTTGCAAAATTTAAATCGCTGAGTTTCTCTTTTACTTCCAAACCTGTAATCAAGCGGATATTCATAAATGTTTATAAGGTACTGTTGCAGCTACTTCCTCATATATCTTATGACTATCAAAATGGGATGATTCTGATGTTGCTTGATGGTCAATGGGGGCAATATTGATAAAACGGTTGTTAAAAGTTTCAACAATTTATTGGGTTTCTAGGAGCATACCATTGTGTGTATTTACTTGGAGTGGAAAATAAGAACTTTTACTTTGGTTGAGCTCCTTGTTATATTTCCATAATTCGTTTGGATTTTTAGCTTGTTCAATAGATGTTTGATAATAGCTATGTTCATCATTATCTATAAATTATGTGCATTTGTTCCCCAAAAACTTGAAGCTGTCCGTGTCTTGCTTTTTATGGTAGTAATCTCTGTTTTGCCTGGCAGCTATTATTGCAGCAGTTAACCACTCTGGGCTTTACACATTTTTAACTCGTTTTGTTTTTATTTGGGCAGGATCATTAGCATTGTTGAAATTAGCTCTCCATATTATTAAAGAGAGGCGAAAGATACCAAAGGGACATTAAAACTCATAAGTCGAAAATAAACAGATAACGCCATGGCTAAAAAAGAAACGACAAACAGACAAACAATAGCACATAAAACACAATATAGAAAACTAAAGACTGAGCAACACGAACCCCACCAAAATGTCAGGTGCTCCGGAAGGGAAAGCAGATCCTGCTCCACATGTGGCACTCGTCGTGTTGCTCATGTTAGTATCAACCCGGTAATAAGTTTAATTCGGTAAGTCACATTCGGGTAAAGGGGGCGGTATTGTAGTTACGACACTAGGAACATATCCGCTATCATCTGTGAAACAGATATTCCATAACGGTCAACCAACTCGTGATGGCGTCCGTAAAATTTACGAACTTCACCACTTGGAACTCTTGGTTTAATAGCTTCCTTGTGAGCAGCAACCCTATATTAAGGAAATCATGATAGGAAATACAATCCCTGGAATATCGTATCAACTGGGAGATATATACTCTTTTGTCAGGCGCTGCTGGAATTTTGCTACATATAGAAATGGAAAGTTCAAAATTGGGGAGCCGAAATCATCTCTTTTGTAGTAAAGCTTTGTTTTCAACCGACCCTCATTGTCAATTTCAAGATATGAGGCAGACTTACCTTTATCTGTTGTATCCTTTATCTCAAGTTCGATGGGTCAACATAGTCACCAAATTTTAAATTATTTAGTGAGAGAACATCATCTATGTAGCGGAAAGTAAAGTTTAAGGATACTGGTAACTTCTTTCTTTCTTCCTAAGGAGTTCCTGTATGAAATCAGCCTCATATGATTAAAGGAACAAGTCGGCAAGTCCCATGTAAACGCTCGACTCCGTCCATCCGTCCGTCTGTCCGAAAGACCTTAGGTAGAATACTTTCGTCAAAGTTTTCTTGGCTATTATGAAAGTAAGGAATTCATATATTTTGTATACAGCTTGATAACGTTGAGTTGTAGCGACTAAGCAATGTTTACATTCGTCGTGCAGCGAATTCTTCTATGCCGATTGTTTGAATTTTACAGCACTCATTGAATAAGGAAAGTTTTCGTTAAATTTTCTTGGCTTCTATCAAGGGATCTAATTTAATATTGAATATTTTCGTCAATTTTTTCTTGGCTCTTATTGAAGGGAATGATTTAATATTTCGTCTGCTGCTTTATAATGTTGAGTTGTATAGAGAAAGCAAGTTTTACATCCATCGTCCAGCCACTTCATGTTTCGAAGGTTTACAACACTCATTGTACAAGGAAAATTTTCGTCACATTTTCTTTGTCTTAAATGAAAAGGAGTGATCAGTTGTGCTTCAGTATACCTGTTACCTCAATCAATTGTTTGCAGCGACGCAGGTCTAGACCCAGTATTGGTCTGACTATTATATGATGAGCACTTGTCATCGTGTGATGGCAAATATCCTTTCTATGTCAACATTTTATTATAACTATTATGATGTTCTTTTACCATTATATGATGTGACATTGTCGTTATGTTATGCACGTTTGTCTTTAATGATGTGGAAACGATATAATGTGACATTATATGATGTGCAAATATCAT